AGGAGGAGGAGGAGGAGGAGGAGAAGAAGAAGGAGGAGGAGGAGGACGGAACCGGTGGTCCAGAAGAATTTTCAGAGTTGGTTGGCGGCGGAGAGGACGAGGAAAAGGCGGGCGGAGGGACGGTGGTTGGTGCGGTCCGAGATTCGCAGTTGATCCCTAGGTGTACAATGAGTTCAATTTCTGCCCGGAATGTCCGTTGACACCGGGGACACGTTGGAAGCGGTTGTGCGTCGGCGTTGCGGACGTGGGGTGGCTGTGATTTGCGTGCTCTCGTTTCACTTTGGCAGCGGCGATTCGCTTGGCCTCATAGATCGCAGCGGCTGTCTTCAGTGTCCTCCTCCATGTCGGTCGGTAGAGGGTGAGCTCTTCCCAGTTGGTCGGGTTGATTTGCAGGCGCTTCAGGGTGGACTTCAGAGTGTCGTTGTATCGAAGAATTTGACCACCTTGGCGGCGAGAACCCATCGCAACGTCTCCGTAGAAGAGTCGTTTGGGTAGTCGCTCGTCGTCCATGCGCACCAGATGGCCGCTCCAGCGCAGCCGCATTTGTCTCAGCATGGAGTAAATGCTGAGCATTTCCGATCGTTCCAGCATATCTGTGTCGGAGATTCGATCCTGCCAGTGCAGCCACAGGATGCGACGGAGACTACTGAGGTGGAAGTGGTTCAGTAGGCGTGCCTGCCTCGTGTACACCGTCCAGGTCTCCGCTCCATACAGAAGCGTCGGCAGGATGACGGCCTTGTACATCTTTAGCCTCGTACTCAGATGGAGGCCATGACGATTCCAAACTGTGCTTTTGAGGTGACCGAAGGCTTGACTGGCTTTCGAGATCCTGTTGGCGACTTCGTCATCTATCATGGTGTTGCGGGAAAGGGTGCTGTCCAAGTACGGGAACTTCTCCACCACTTGCAATTGGGTTCCATTCACGCTGATTTGCGGCGACGCGCTGTGGGCTGTGGCTGAATTGGGTGCCGGTTGATGCATCACCACCGTCTTCTGCGTGTTAATGACCAGCCCAAAGTTCTCGCAGGTGGCAGAGAACAGGTTCATGCTCCGTGGCATCTCCACTTCCGATGTGGTGTTCAGGGCGTAGTCGTCGGCGATGAGAAGTTCGTGAACGGTGGTTGTGGATACGCGCGATTGGAAGTGCATCCGCCGTTGATTCAGGAGGTGACTGTCCGTCCTGTAGGCAATGCGGATCCCGGGGTGCTCAACACGATCGGGGTCCATCAGCATGGCAGAGAACATAAGACTGAAGAGGGTAGGTGCCAGCACGCATTACTTCTTCACACCGTTGGCCACTACAAATGTCTCTGAGACAGCTCCGTTGTCCGTGACTCGCGCCATCATACCGTCGTGCAGTTGACGCACCATCTCAATGGATCGCTACGGACAGCCTTATTTCTGCATGATCTTCCACAGTCCTTCACGATTCACCGTGTCGAAGGCTTTCGTCAGGTCCACGAAGGTAGACTACAGGTGGGTCCGCATCTCCTGGCTCTTCTCATAAAGTTGACGAGCGACGAAGATCATGTCTGTGGTCACGCGATGACAACGGAAGCCGCATTGGCTTTCCGGTAGAAGCCCCTGTTCCAGATAATTATTCAGACGATTGAGGAGGATGGGAGCGAAGATCTTCCCGGCAATTTTCAGCATGAAGATGCGGCGTGATTGTCGCAGACTTGGCGATTCCCTTTTCGCTTGTAAAGGTACACGATAGTTGCGTCCTTGAAATCTTGCGGGACTTCATCTTTACGCCACAGCTCCTGGAAGATCGCAGTCAGGTGGTCCATGAGTTGGGGACCTCCGTGCTTGAAGACCTCAGCAGGGATTGCGTCCGATCCGGGTGCTTTCCCGTTGGAGAGCTGCTGCACGGCCCTGATGGTTTCCTGGAGAGATGGCGGGAGGTCGAGGACGATGTTGGTCTCCACTTGCGGCAAACGCTCGATGGCGGCGTCGGAGATGACGGAGGGGCGGTTGAGGATGCCTCGGATATGCTCGCCCATCGCTGTAGGATTGGCGTCTATTCAGTCAGGAGAGTGCTGCCGTCGGCGCTGAGGAGAGGAGCAGTGCCCATCGTCGGCGGACCGTAGACACCTTTGATCGCGGAGAAGAAGTTCTTCCATTCGTTGCGGTCCCCGTAGCCTTGAATCTCATCAGCTTTGCGACCAGTCCAGGCGTCCTGCATCTCGCACCGTCGTTGCTGAAGCTGGCGGCGTCTGCGGGAGAAAGCAGCTTTGTTGTCATAAGTGGGGTGGCCTACGTAGGCTTTTGTAGGCGGTTTTTCTCAGCAAGCAGATTTCTGATGGCGGCGTCGTTGTCGTCGAACCAGTCCTGGCGTTGACGGGGGGCGAGACCGAGGACGGCGAGCGTCGTCGCCTGGACCGTGTTTCGTAGTTGACACGAGCGGTTATCCACGGAGGCGTTCTCTGCAATGGTGGCCTCGTCGTCGGCTGCATCGCCGATGGGAATTTTGTCTAGCCGTTGAGCTTGCTCATTGCTGAAATGAAGATTGTGAGCGGGCAAAGTCAACAAGGCAACATTCAGCTTACCTGGGGGTCGCTTACCTTGTGGTCTCCTGCGAGGCTGTAAACGAATACGCATTTTCGAGATGACGAGGCGATTGTCGGTCCACCCGTCAGCACCCGCGATCGCCATCTCGCCTCCAGACGAGGACGTAGTCCAGCAGGTGCCACTGACGCGACCGAGGATGCCCCCAGGTGGCCTTCTCTCGCTCCGACAGACCGAAAAAGGTCTTCGTCAGGATGAGGCAGTGTTCTGCGCAGGTGCGGAGCAATAGTGGACCATTGTCGTTGGAGCCGCGGAGACCGTGGGGACCCAGCACTCCTCTCCAGGCAGTATGGTCTGTGCCGACGCGGGTGTTGAAGTCGCCAAAGACAATCAGCTTGTCCGTCTTCGACACAGTCGCCAAGAGGGCGTGCAGGTCCTCGTAGAATTTGTCCCTAACGGCGGCGACGGGGCAGCTCATCGGCGGAGCGTAGGCGCTGACGATGGTGGCGAATTCGCCCCCACGCCTGCCTGAGAGGCAGACGGAGGCTCATCAGGCGATCGTTGATTTCCTGCGGCAGACTGGGCAGTCGTCCCACGATGTCGTTCCGGATGGCGAGGACGACACCCGCGTCTCGTCGCTCTGCCCTGGGTCGACCACTCCAGAAGAAGGTGTAACCGGCCCTCACAACCTCCAGTTGGCCTTGTTCGGAGAATCGGGTCTCGCTGAGTGCGGCGATGTCCACCTTGTAGCGCGCCAGTTCTCGTGCCACTAGCGCCGTCCTCCGCTCCGGTCGGTTGCTCCTTGGATTGTCTAAAAGGTAATGAACATTCCAGGCTGCCAGAGTGAGCGGACTCACCCTGCCAGTCTGTCGGCGATTTCGTCGGATGCAGGAGCCTTTATGCTTCACAAGTTTAAACCAGAGGCCTGTACTTCATAGAAGTTTGTGAAGTTTTCTAGCAGTGCGTTTTGCCCGATGTTTGCCTAACTCTGATCGACAGCACGCTCTACAGCAGACTTAATGTAACAAACAGCAGTTGAAAGACAGCGATTCCACACAACCATCTGGATCACCTGTGGCTACATTTAGCTAATGCGGAGGACTAGCGTAATTCAGCGCGACAGTCGCTGTGAGACTGAAAGGAAGGTCGAGTAGAGATTGTGTCATCCTCTAGTCACAGGATTTGATGCCTTACCCTGCTAACACGCAACACGAGCGCGCCTGCTATCTGCACGTACGAAACCCCACCCAGCCATCTCCCTCCCTCCCTCCGCATTGGATCAGCAGATTTAAGTACAAATCGTTGCACCTAGAGTGGCGTGATCTGCTCGCATCTGTCACTTGGTTTGTGAATATTGATGACAGGAACCCTAATGCAATGGATGCAGCATTTGTAATACGTAATACAGAGCTGCAGGTTTGCAACCAGCTTGCGGGGTTTTTTACCTAACTCGTCAGTGTTGTGCCACACCTGACGGTATTACCACTGTGTAGTCTTGAACTGACTATCCGCCAAAACAGATATCCCCTTCAGTTTACAGAATATATTTCCTAAAGTCTCAGTTATCCACCTCGATCGAACTGTATATCCTCGGTGCCACGGTGTGACTGAAACCCACGACAGCAGGCGTTTTGCCATGTCAAGTAATCCATATCTCCTTATTTTGACTGGCAATACGAGCCTATTGCAGCTTGACCGACTGTTGTCGATATTGCCGTATTAAACTCAAGTACACAAACGAGTCATTTTGATACGCATATGAAATACTCGGCGCCTCTGTGGTGCATGAACCCACTTCAGCTTTAGGTAGCCTTAGTACAGCCAACGCTCTAGCCCACTGACCTAAAAGGCTCCACCGGACGACGCTACATTAATCGTATCTTCCATAATAGCTATGAATTTCGTGAAACCCTTAGCTATCTGGTGGATTCTATATGTATAAATTAGAAAATCCTGCTTAGAATGTCAGCTTACTTTATCAGATTTGGTGGATACCAGACTTTGCAGTAGATCACACGAGTAAACTTGATTAAGATATGATTAAACTCGCGTCGTCCGGTGGGGCCTCGTATCATAGGTGGCTAGAGCGTTGGCCGTACTAAAGCCTCTCTTTGCTGTCGTGGGTTCGAATACCACCAGTTAGGCTTAGTAGCAACTTCGGAGAATGAAACCAATTATTTTTCAGAAGTAGAGCATTCTTAACGGTGTCATTTTGATGTGAGGATATTCACTCGATCGCTGGAGCGAGAATAATGTTCACATGAGTTTCCCGATCCCTTTTCGATTAAGGAAGGCAACAGACTGAAGTTGGGGACGTACAGAGGGTGAAAATTTTATAAACTGCAATTCCTATGCTATCATCTGCATGCTTATAATGATAACGACCGCATTCACTTCAGCTTTTCCTTAGTCGTTTGACGATTTCCCGAGTACATATGTTTAAATTGTGACTGTTCACGAATTAGCCGTTTTTTAAATACTAACATCATCCTTGGTTCTAAAAACTGACTTTGGCGATTCTATGACTTTGGAAACGGGAATTTTTGTTAGAAATGAGGTTTTCCTGGCAGGCTGAAGTCGACATAATGTTGAAATTTGCTGATTGCCCCTTTCCAATTAGTGCCAGACAGACGCTCAGACTGTGTCTATATTAAAACAGTGTAGGATGTTAATAAAAACAGTTTGTTTATTTAATGCACATTCCGCTACGACGAATTTTAACGTAGGTAAATCCACTCCTTACGGAGCGCGTCGAATTAATTCTAAAATCCCACTTGGTTTACTGTCCTGGATTATGCATATCTAATTTATGCGAATACATCAACACGGACAGTTGAAAAAATGAAACCATTACATAGCTTAGGGATTCGCATTGCATGTGATCTTTCAGTGAATTTGCAATTGACTGGACATCTTGCACCTACGTTCGGTGAAACACTCCTGTAGATTTTCGAATCCGCACTAATTTGACTTGGGACTGGCTGCTTCGATGTTAATCGCAATCCCACGGCATTTGTTTCACTTTGAATGTAAAAAGTCTGCTGACAGCAACTTCGGAGACCGAACCCACATCATTTTCAGAACTGGAGCTTCCTTAACAGTGTTATTTTGCTGTAAGGAAAATCACTCGATCACTAAAACGAAAGTAATGTTCACTTGAAGTTTCAAGTTCATTTTCGAACAAAGACAGCAACAAATTGAAGTTGTGAAGAAACAGAGGGTGAAATATGCATGGGCTGAAATTCCTATACTATCACACGCATATTCTTAAAGATAACGTCTGCACTCCTGCAAATATTCGCACTTCGTCTGATGATCTGTTGAGTAGATATGTCCAAAGTGTGACTGATGGCGATCTTCCTATGTTTTAAGTAATAACACAGCCTTTTGTTTTTATAACCGAGTCTGGCATTTCTGACATCCGTAACTGACATTTTTGATGGAAATGTGGATACCTAGCAAGGAAAACCTCCACGTATGTCGGAAAGTCGGACAAAATGTTGACATTTCCTGAGTGCACGTTTCCAATTAACGCCAGACAAACCCCGGTCTAGCCGGCGTGTTTTTCTAGCGCATCTGCTGCGTGAGCGGTTTTAGGGACACTGCCATTGTCCAGTGACGTACACACGCAACAATTGCGCATCACGCCACTGACTACCTGCTGCCAAGGTCATCTAGGGGCGCATCTACTCGCATTCAGCATTCGGCCATCTGGCGAAATCTGCCAGCTGCGTCATCCATCGAGCGCGATCGATTTTCTCTCGGCAGGCTCGCAGGCCGCCTCACTGTCCAGGGGCCACCAACTCGAGATGCACCCCTGATAACTGACAGTCCACCTGGTACGCAACAAGAAGCAGGGCTTCCCACGTAGTTAGTGCCGATTCAGTTAATCGTATCTCTGGTTACATCCAAATCACTAACCTGGGTTATATTTGAACATGCGTTATGTTAAATACCCTTGACATCATTCATGTGAGCTCGTCGTGCTTGGTGAAATCTTTGCTAAGCATAAATCCCGAGACAGTCCAACCTTTTAATCTTTTTTAGATGAAGAAAAGGATCAATTTATGCTACGGAGACAGACAGCGTACATGCATCCGACATCTTCCGTCGACCGAATACTAAGGAATGTAACGTTTCATGACATATCAGGCCACAATCACTTATGCCGAATCCCCTTGATAGAGACGTCCGATAGCAACTCACACACCAGTCTATCGCATTTCGTGGGGGTGGGCTACATTGGCTTTTAGGAGTGGGACTCTATAAGGACTTGTTGACATCTGTCCTAATTCATAGTGCCAGGTCCGCCGTCCACTCTCTAACTGTTCCTGTCGCCTCAGTAAGTAGTACGTGTGCCATTCATATTAACACACAAGCTGCCCGATCTGCGATCTTACTAGTGTTACTCACTTCGTCAGCAAGTTGGCATCTCTTTGCTAAACTAACCTCGACCACATCTCTCATTCCTCGCAGAGATATGCTAGAGATTATTTGTCACCCCAAGTGTTGGACACTTTACACCCTTTTGGTGTTTTTTTTTTAACAAAAAAATTGGAGGCCATGTTTATTAAACCCGCTAGGGACACCTGGCAGTGAGAACATCCCCACCACTAAATCTAATTCGTCTCCAGTATCATACCCGCTGGCGACAATGATTTCTCTCCATAATCAAGCATTAATCCCGAAAACGAGCATCTCCCTCGTAAAAAATAACTGGTTCATGCATTTCATTCCCTTCAGAGATAAACACGCCATTAATCGGTTGCCTTAGGTGTTAGGCACTGCACACCTTTTTGACGTTTTCAAAAAAACGACAAAACAGGTTTCATTGTAAGTCGTTTATTTCTTAACATGTGGGTCATAGAAGGAGCATCAAGAAACGCAGAAGTTTACATGCGAATGCTTGCAGCTCCAGCGATCCTTTCAAGCGTCTCCAGCGGTTTCTTCGACGACCAGCTCCAAGTTGTCAAGTCGTTGCTGACATCAGCTGGCCCGCCTGGTGCTGTGAAAGTCTCCACCGTGTTTCCTGAGCCTGAAAATTGTGAATAATTCCAGTGAAATTCTACTTTCATAAATATCAAAATAGACAAAATTAGCATACGATTTGCACAATACCGCTAGACAAAAAATTTATTTTAATAAAACGCAGAGTAGACAAAATAAGCTTTGAACGCAGTATCTAATGAAGACGCTTTAACCATTCGGCTGCATAATTCTCGCAAAAATCTATTTTAATAAGCAGACGATTTGCACTACAAAAGGACTACCATCGGCCCTAACCTTGTTGTGTTTACGAAACGCCATGCAAAGTCCCATTTTCACATGATTGCCATCATACGGACTGTCTTAATCTTCCTCATAAAAAGGGATTACACAGAAAAGGACATGAAACGGCATGAAAAAGAGGAGAGAGTGGAGAAGGAATGCAGTCAGTGTAAAGCAAAGGAGGAGGAGGCGTCATTACCGAGAGCAAAGATGGCGTCGTCGGTGGAGGTGAGAAGAGCAAAATACGCGCGGGGTTCCTTCATGCCAGTCAACTCTGTCCACTGGCCCCGGGGACACCTGGCATCTGGTGGTGTGAACATCTCCACCACGTTTAATCTTTTTTCACCATATCCCCCGGCGACAATGATTTTCCCCCGAAAGTGTGCCGCTGCCAACCCGCATCGTGCAGTTCTCATGGGTGCGGCTGGCTGCCAAAAGTCCGACGAGGTCGCCCTCTCTCGCCAGTCTGCTCGCAGGTGGCAGAACTCCACAGAAGCCAGCGGGGAGGAGCCACCAAAAACGAAGATTCGACTGTCGCCGGGCAGGCAGGCAGCAGCCGTGAGGTTCCTCTTCTCTCGCAGATCGGGCAGTTTGAACCACCTGTGTGTGTTGGGGAGGAGGAGGAGGAGACGAGTGAGAAGGGAAAATGGGAAAATTTGCAAGAAAAAAAGGAGGCGCCAGGACGAGTGTGCTCTCACCTGTCCCGACCGACTTCATAGACTTCACAAGAGGAGAGGAAACCACCGTTACCCAATCCACCGAAAACGGCGATCAGCGCCTCCCCTCCGGCTTCCGTCAGGACTGCGGCTGCGTGCCCGCTGCGTGCAACGGCGAGGGACGCCCGTTTGCGCCAGCGCCGTTCTGCCACCAGAAACTCCTCGACACTCGTGGAGTTTCCTATTCCTCCAACCACGAAAATGCTCTCTTCCGTGGGGGTGAGGTGGGATAGAAAAAAGTTTCATAAAATTGCGTGGAAGAAAGATAAAGTGGAAAGATAAAAGAAGGTAAAATAAAAAAGGCGTGCAGTTGACAGAAAGAGGGGGAATATCATCGTCGGACAAAAAGACGTGGGCGGACAAATCTCCCAGTTGAGTGGCCGCCCGTGACGGACACAAACAAGCCAGGTGGAGACACGGTTGGGTAAAATGAAGACGGAAAACAGCAAACGCGTCGGGACAGGCCAGGCGAATGGACAACTCCAAGACCTCAAAACCCCTCAATTACTACAACTACTACTACAATCCTATGTATTGTGCAGTGATGGCAGCTTTACTGGCAGGACTGTGTGTGTGTTTGTTATAATTCTGGCAAAAAGAGACACCAACTGGTGAAATTAGACAAAGAGGAAAACAAGGCAGGTGCACAGAAGAGGCGGTGCGTAACTGTCAGGCAACTCACCGCCCACGACACTGTAGGTGGCGTATTCTCGCTCCTCCATGTCAGCAATCCTCTCTTCCTTTTCGAGGTGCGGATCGAAACGCAGGACAGACCACCTGTCCTGATTTTTGTCCTTTCCAAATACGAAGATCATCTGAGGCGGCCTCCAACGTCGGTTGAAGGGACACGGAGGCTTGTTTTTGTCTGCGTAGGTCATCCACTGCTCCACCTGAGCCATAAAACGACTTTCATTAGAAAATAAATGACGCACTGGAACAGCATATACTTACAGGCAGCTTTTGCTTTCCTGGAAAATCGGATGACTATCGACTAGACGACTGCGGAATTCGACAGTCGTCTGACACCAACGAACCTCCTTTAGCATTTCCGGGGCGTGCAATCTCAGTCTCTCATTATCGCACTCCTTGTCGCCGGCAGCCACCCAGCTTGAAATCGCCTCAAAAACTGCCTCTTCGGAATCCACTGACAGATTGTCGTTTCGCAACAACGTCAGCACGGTGTCAGCTGGCAGACGAATAAAGAGGTCAGTAGAGACGAAATTCGTAAACTGCGCTTGCATCAGATTGATGCAAGTCTCCATCAGTGAGTCCATATTCGAAGATCTGGCAAAGTCCCATGTGGTTGCCAGATTTTCTAAATTCACTCTTTACAGCCGACGGTTAGACAGAAAGAACCGGCACTTGCTTACCTATTGGTCATGAATTGCACTCCCCAATTCTCCAGATCAGACAGTTTCATCATTTTGGCAAACATCACTATGCCCATCGCATTCGTTTGGGTTACCTCCAACTGCCCGGTGTACACATACTGGAGGAGTGAATTTGCGAGGCTAGAAAGTGCAAAAGCAAAATCAGAGAAAGGAGGATGACTTTACTTCAGAGGCACCGTCGGCCATTTGAGCACCGAATTATCCTTCCCAAGGGCGCCACTGAGAGTAGCACGCAATGACGGAATCCGTGCCGCTAATATTATTCGATGGGCATTGAGAATAGCGCCGTGCTTCACCTAACAAGCATGAACAAATTGCCGTGTAAAGAACGGTAACAAAAAAGACAGCTACCTCTATGACGAGCTCATTCAATTCTCCCGAAGTGCGAATCTCGTTGAGGGCTGGACAGCTACGAACCAGGGGGACTGCGTCTTCGAATACTTCGACGTCTGCGAGTGCCATTGCGAGTGATAACCGGAACAGGAGCGAAGAATGATCGCGAGTGCCATTAGCACTGCCTCTTATAGTGCCAGCACACTTTGAACCCGCCCGCACGCACTCATGACCTTCGGGTCCTGATTGGCCGATTTCAAAGTGCGGATTCGATTGGGCGATAGTCGGCACAGTTATGTGGCGTAATGCTTAGGCGAGAACCCCAAAGCTGTTTTTATTGGTCAGGGCTACGTGGGCTAGACACCGCCGATGGCGCACTTTCAAAGCCAAATGGACTGACATGTAACTTGCTAATGAGGACACCGTCTGCGAAAATTCGAATAATTGCCACTGGGTTTTGGTACGTTTTGTGCTGATAAAGAACACTCGTGAAAACCACATGGTCGTCCGGCTAAACACACGTACAGTTTAGGTGCATCGCTTAGCAGTAAAAACTACTGATCTGGTGCGGAGGGAAGGGTGGCTGGGTGGGCTTTCGTATGTCCATGCGGAAAAACGGGCAAATAAAGTAGTTCACGTAGAATAATTTTAAAGATAGTCATTCAGTAACGTTCGCAAATATATGCCCAAAGAGAACACGTAACGTCAACTACGACATTTATCTACAGTACGTGACCTATCTCGTGAAACCTGATCACGGAAACTTACGTGACAATTTTTGGACGTCTTAAAAGTTACGCATTTTGCTTGCATATTCGGCCCCTTTAATTAAATGTCCTTTTCTTGTGCAGAAATTGTGTTTACACAATTATATCCAGCAAAATATTAACTATTATTTTTTAGAAAAAATGAACATTGCAATATATTCGTGCCATTTCATATGCTAATATCTGTCCTAGACTTCGGTTGTGCATTTGAGCATGTTTCTCATTAAAAAGTGACCAATTTACTCGCGGGAGTTATAATAAGCTGAGGTTTGCCGACTTGAGAATTTGTTTCATGTCCGATCCTAACCCTGCAATCAATTTTCTCACACAAAGGTCATTTTAAAAGAACCAAATATTTTAACGATTTTTAAAAAGTCATATTAGCAGGTCAGTGCGTCTTGGTGCCCTGAAGTGCAGTAATAACGCAGACAGGGATTCCTTCGTTTAAATGGGCTGAAATTGTTTTACCGTTTAGAGGATTTTGCGTGATGTCACAGAAATGACCACTACCAAATGGCAATTTCCAGTCTTGAAGATAAGAAACATTCCTCGCCGTGTAGTCTAGTTTGCGCAAATGCCTCATGCAGAAATGGAACGAGCAAAACATGAGCAGTTTCATCAGAATATCAGTATTTATGTGGACGCTCTCTCGTGAATTCCTATTCGATGAACGGAGTCTAAACGCGAGCAAAAACAATGAAAATGGCCGCAATATATAGAGAAGAAAGATATAATCTTGCGTTTACGGTAGAAATATACCAGTATGGTCTAGGAAGGTGAAAGAAACGGCCAAAACTGTCATATTTTTTCTTGGCCACACCGTGCAAAAGTGCTATGTACACAGAGATCCGTCAACGGAGTGCAGTAAGAAAGCACTTCCTAAAGAGGTAACTTATTACAGAGAGTTTTCAAATTGTGATTGAAAGCCTATTTGTTACTGACTTTCGTTGTGGACAGCTATTCTATTCGACAATGAAGTTTCATGCTTGAGTGAGTCTTCAAATTCGACTCAAACGACCTTCTTCATGAAAAAGAACGTCCAAACACTCGCTACTTCGATAAATGCCTTATTTAAAAGTTTAACAGAAACATGTTATATAATCTCTCTTTATGGGCGATCGGATGACAACACTGAAAACCAGCAACGTTATCCTGAAGAGACAAAAATTAAACGTCAATTTAACGCAAGAAAAAGTTCTATTTATAAACACAAAATAATATAGGTTGTATGTTATTACAGACAAAGACAAGAGAGACTGGAATGGCAATTTCTGGCTTATTAGCCGTCGTCAGTCAGTCATACCTAATCCCGAAGCGTGGAACACGCGAGGCTCGAACTCGCGACCTGTTGGTTAGATGTACACGCCTCTAACCACTCGGCCACGAGCCCAAGAGTCGAAGACAATCGACTACTGTAGAATAACCACGTAATGCCAATTCAACAAACGAGTACTACCACAAGTAGTATGAAATGTATGCATCAAAGATACCATACCGTACTCCGGACACATGTACTAACTAAAAGCCCAGACATGGGTTTCGCCGACACTGCCTCTGCATGACACAACTGCGAGGGGTTCGGCTCTTGGTTATGACTGGCTAACGACAGCTAATGCGCCAGAAATGGCCATTTCAGTCTCCCTTGTCTTTGTCGGTAATAACATACTGCCTACATCATGCGCCGCTGTGCGGCTGCTGGTTGGGTTCGAGAGAGAGCCCGTAAGGCACGACGGAACGAGTGAGTTCCGGAAGAACGATCGGTGAGCGCCCCCTACCAAAAAATACAGTTAGTGACCTAACGCATGAAATGTGTCGAAATTTACGAATGATTGCTAATCACTCGCAAACCGACACCATTTCACGAGTCCGATTTCTATGTTAATTAACTACAAGTTTAAAAGCATTAAAAACACAAAAGAATTGTTAAAGACGGTGTGGCGTTATTTAGAAATTCCGATTTATTTTGAAAAGCGCAATATCCCGAAAACGTCAGAAATGGCTCTAATTTAGTAAACGTCGTTTTTAGATGTACAGAACGTATTATCATACAAAAAACGTAGTAAATATGAAAGTAGACATAAAATAACGTCTAATAACAGTGTTTTAGTGAAGTTTACATCTAAATATCGTTTAATGAGTAGTGTAATTTCATATATGACGGTGTGTCAACTGCCTACATTCTGAGTGCAGACTCCAAAACAGCTTTCCAGTGAGTCCTCCTTCATTTTATTTGTTTAAAGTAAATGAGATGGGGTTCAACAAAAGAAGCTGGATTTTGCTTGATTTCACCGATGGTGACGTCGTAGGAACAAAAGTTTTCATAAGGTGACATGCCACGAGACCGGTCGGTGCCTAATAAATTTAAATAGAACTGACAGGCGTGATCGTGAAGGTGCCATTTTGAGTTTGTGGAGATCAATATTCTTCCATTAAATTAATTTACACTTCTCTTTCGTTTTGGATAACGTTGAGTTTCAAATCGGCCTCGAAATGTTGCTGAATACTTAGTGATTTTCAGTGTTTTCACCCGATCGTCCATAAAGACAGATTCTGAATTGCCTGTCTGTTGAGAACTTTAAAATAAGATTATTCTTGAAGGCATTTACCGAATTAGTGAGTGTTCGGGCGCTCCTTTTCACGAAGATGGTCGTTTGGGTCACATTTGAAGACTCGTTCAAACATACAACTTCATTTTCGAGAAAAATGTCTGTCCACAACGAAAGTCAGCAACGAATATGCCTTTGATCAATGAAAAAGCTTCCGGTAGTAAGTTATCTCTTTAAGAAGTGCTTTCTTACTGCACTCCGTTGATGGAGTAGATAAAACCTCTGGTTTTCCTAAAATATCCTTTGTGTTAGCAGGTGGATCAACATGGCTATGATCGAATTTAAAATAAAATTTATAGTCCGGCTAAACCTGTTTATTAAAACTCTCATGGGCAAATTAATATCCTTTCAATGAAAAAGCCGCTCAGATGCGTAACCGGAGTCTAAGACATGTATTAGTATAGGAAATTACACGAATATCATCCAACGTACATTTTCGCTAAAATTTACAGATATTTTACTTGATATAATTACGTAAACACAATTTCTGCACAAGAAAAGGACATTTTGTTGAAGGATGTGGAAGAACGAACAAAATGCTCAACGTTAAAGGCGTCCAGGAATTCTCTCATCAGTTTCCATTTTCAGATTTCATGAGATAGGTCACGTACTGTAATATGTTTAAGATTACACCGATCACCGATTGGCCTGTCAGCATGTGACGTTGTGTAAATTTTTGTTCTTAAGACGCCTCCATCGGCGAAGCCAAGGAAAATCTAGTTTCTCCTGTTGAACCACATCTCAATCAGCCCAAGTCAAAAATACCGCGAAATCTCCGCAAACTGTCTTGGAATCTATACTCCGACTGAAGGCTGTTGACAAACCGTCATACATGAGATTACACTAACTCTTATACGATACTTAGATGTGGACTTCACAGAAAAAAACACTATGTTTAATCGTTATGTTATTTGTACATTGATATTTACGCCGTTTTGATGGATAAGAAGACACTCTTTACGTCTAAAAACGAAACTAAATTACAGCCATTTTTGACGTTTCCAGGATTTTGTGCTTTTCTAAAAAAATGGGCAGACTCAGGTACACGGTGAATCAGTTGTCAGCGATAAATTGCCTGTGAATTGATTGCAAATCTGTAGTCCTGTATTACGTCAAAACGCATGTTGCTCTCATTGCATTAAGGTTAAGTGCGTTGTATTCACAAACCGAGAGTCAACCACGAACAGTTTCACGCCAGTCTAGGTACATCGCTTAGCAGTAAAAAGTACTCATCTGGTGCGGACGAAGACGGATGCGCGGGGTTTCGTATGTCCATGCGAAAAAAACAGCAAATAAAATGGCTCAGGTAGAATAACTTGAATGACA